CAAGTCCTTTGTCAGGTATGCATATTGTGAATATTTTGTCCTATTCTGTGACTTGTCTTGTCTTTCTTTTTTACTTAATGGTATCTTTTGAAGAGTGGAAGTTTTTAATTTCGGTTAAGTTCAATCTGTCGTTTTTCCTTTTATTTTTCATGCTTTGTGTGTGTGTGTTTAAAGACATTTTTGCCTACCTCAAGGTTGTTGTATTAGCTATATGTTGCTGTACAACAAATTACCCCAAAACGTAGCAGCTTAAAATAGCAAACATTTTATCACAGTTTCTGTGGATCAAAAATGTGGAAGCAGTTAAAGTGGGTGGTTGTGGCTTAGGCTTTCTTAAGAGGTTGTAGTCTGCCAAGGACAGTTCATCTGAATGCTTTATTGGGGGAGGCTCTGCTTTCTCACCCACTCATGGCTGTTGGCGTGACTCAGTTTCTTGAGGGTTGGTGGACTGAGGGGCTCAGTACCTTGCTGCTGGAGGCCTCTCTCAGTTCTTGCTGTGGGGCATTTCCATAGGGCAGCTCATGATGACACGGTAGCTGCCTCTCCTCACAGCAAGAGTGGTGAAGTGGGGTGAAGTCACTTTTTTTTGTTTGTTTTCTTGAGATTAACTCAATTTTTTTTTTTTTTTNCGCTCAGCCAGTGAGCGGGAACCGGTCTGTATGTGGGATCCGAACCCTCCGCGGGAGCGCCCCCGCGCTTCCCAAGCAGCGCACTATAGCAGTGCGCCACCGGGCCGGCCCCCTTTTTTTTTTTTTAAAGATGACCGGTAAGGGGATCTCAATCCTTGACTTGGTGTTACCAGCATCACACTGTCCCAAGTGAGCCACGGGCCGCCCTCAGCAATATGTTCTAATCCAGTGAACTAACCGGCTCACTTGATCTGATCTTTATCATTATAGCATTTGTATTTTTGAGGGTTTCAGGTAAATGTGATCATATAGTATGTCCTCTTTTGTGTCTGGCTTCTTTTGGTCAGTATAATGTTTTTTATATTTATCCATGTTGTAGCATGTATCAGTAACTGCTTTTTGTTACTGAGTACTGTTCCATTGTAGGGGCTTACCACAATTTGTTTATCCATTTTTCTGTTGATGGACATTTGGGGCTGCGTCTAGTTTAGGACAATCACAAATAAAGCTGCTATGAATATGTTTTAATTTCTCTTGGATAAATCTCCACGAGTGAGATTGCTGGGCCTTACAGTATGGATATGTTTAACATTATGAGAAACTGCCAAACTGTTTACCAAAGCAGTTGTACCATTTCACATCCCCACTAGCAGTGTAAAGGGTTGATTGTCCCATATCCTCACCAATACTTGATATTGTTACTCTTTTTAATTTTAGTCATTCTTCTTTTGAGTTTATTTGCATATTTTCCTTTTTGAAATGTTTATTCAGGTCTTTTGCTCATTTTGTAACAGGTTGTTTTATTGAGTTGTAAGAGTTCTTTATATATTCTCAATACAAGTCCTTTGTCAGGTATGCATATTGTGAATATTTTGTCCTATTCTGTGACTTGTCTTGT